AAAAACCCGAAAACTTAGGTAAGATAATTATGTGCGTACCTACCTGGGTTTTAAAATATTCCTTTGTTCACATAATTATCAACACAGTAAACATGAGTTACTGTCTATAATACTAAGAAATTGGAGAGACTCTACCTCCTCATCAATAAGATAGTGTTAAAATTGTGCTTCATTCAGTGAAATACCACATAAAAATTATCTATGATGCTTTTGCTGCAAGACTATGTGTATGACTTATTCAATTTACTAAAATATTAGCTAATGAGATAGTATGTGTGGGTTAATTCCATTAGTTTTTGTTTGATGTTTTGTCGTTTCTTTAATAAAAGTGTGTGTGCCTGTGACTATGCTCATGCTTGGACAAAGGTGTAAAAGGCGGCAGTGTGTCAAATGCTATAGCAATTATCTGTATGGATAGTGATCTCATCTACATTTTTAACTCATTAATAAATGAACATTTTAAAGTCACAAGCAGAAAAAATACTACCTTTTTCTTTTAATCTATTAATTGAGTGCCTATTGAACAAGAATGGCTAATGAGATTATAAAAGTGACTTTTACTTGATCACTCCTGGTGAATGCAAAATAAATAATGAAATTAGTCTTCAGTGTAAGACCAGTCTTTATGTGAGCAAAGAGGGGTGGGATTGGGGGAGTATCTAATGTGTTGGGTCTTCACTGTCCTTTTCAGATGTGATGATAAAAAGCACTAAAACTAATACAGCAGTTTCCACATGCCAGGTTCAAAGCACTTGACATACAACAACTCATTTGATGATACTAATAACACTTTGGTATAGGTACTATTACAACTACATTTTACAGAAAACTGAGCCTAAGGGAGGTTAAACAGTTGCTCAGTTTCTCAGCTGGTAAATGGTGGAGTCAGCATTTGAATCCAGCCAAAAATCTGGCCCCAGGATCTGTGGCCTTACAAACCCACAGAAACGGCAGTGGTTGTTATTAATTACTCTTACTGCTGTCACTGTTTTAGCAAAAGAAAAGGTAACATTGGGTATTTTAAGATTAAGAGACTAAGTTTTATATTTAAGGAAATGGCTATCTTATTTATTGACCAATTTTATTTAAAATAATATTTATCCTTAAGATTATTGCTAAATTGATTTTGGTTCTAGACTGTCAGAAGTAGTCTAAATGAAAGCTGGTTCTTTTAACTACAACTGTGCATTCTTAAAGCCTTACTATACCTATGGCAGCCTCTGACAACTAAACCGTCTTAAAAGACTTAGACACAAACAACAATAATGCTAAACCCAGGAGAAAGACTAGGAACTGAATGAGAAAGAATTCATAAGTTGTAAGGTTTAATGAGAAAGGGAGGACAGGGAAACTAATAGGGAAACGAACAAGATGTCCTTCCATAGGTGACTGGATACATAAACTGTGGTACATCCAGACAATGGAATATTATTCAGCACTAAAAAGAAATGAGTTATCAAGCTATGAAAAGACATGGAGCAATCTTATGCATATTAATAAGCAAAAGAAGACAATCTAAAAAGGCTACATACTGTATAATCTCAACTATATGACATTCTGGGAAAGGCAAAACTATGGAGACAGAAGAAAAGACTACTTGTTGCCAAGGATTAGGCAAGAAGGGATGAACAGGCGGAGCACAGAGGATTCTTAGGGCAATAGAATTATCCTGTATACTGCAATGGTAGATACACGTCACTACACATTTTTTCCAAATCTAGAGAACACATTGCACTAAGAATGAACCTTAGTGTAAACTATGGATTTGGGGTGATAATGATATGTCAATGTAGGTTCCTCAATGATAACAAATGTACTACTCCGGTGGGAGATGTTGATGATGGGGGAGGTTGTGCATGTGTAAGAACAGAGGGTACAATGTAGTTTCTGCTCAATTTTGTAGTGAATCTAGAACTGCTCTAAAAATATAAATTCTGCTTTAAAGAGCACCCCCTCAAAAAAGAGCATACACTCTCTCTCCCAACATATGAGACCTCCTAAGTTAGAGAACTCACCAATGTTATTATCTTCTGTATTATTTTACTTTGGTTCCTATTAAGACATCTTTCTGCTTTCTAGGGTTGGCAAGGTATCTAGATTTTCCTTAAGCATATAACTAGATTACATAGTTCATTTTGAATCTTTATGTGATTTTTTTTTTACTGCAGAGGATTCAAGTGGATGATTATTGCCATAGTCTTGAAACAGAAAAGCAAAACTACTATCTTAAAAATAAACAAATAAAATTGTTATTATAAGAAATTGAATACAGTTCCCTGTGCTATAAAGTAGGTCCCTGTTGTTTATCTATTTTATATATAGTAGTGGGTTTCTGTTAATCCCAAACTCCTAATTTATCCCTTTCCCGCCCTTCCCCTTTGGTAATCAGAGTTTGTTTTCTACCTCCATAAGTCTATTTTTGGTTTATAAATAGAATTTGTATAATTTTTTCTAGATTCCTCATATCTGCTTTTTCATTCTTGGGAAATTGTTCCATGTTTGGGAAGCCTCTTTGCAGACAGAAGGTCTCTGGATAAGAGAGGTTGTGGTTTAAAAGGGATAAATTACTTTGTATATAAAGTAAGAGGAGTTTTTTAGTGGGTTTTTGAAAGCACCAGAGGCAGGGATTTGGGGTTATGAATTCAATAGTAAGAAATAAGAGTAAGTTTCTTTTTAAGGGGAGAGCAGCTCTGAGAATACGGTGTCAGGTCAGGATTAGGGGAGCAAGAGAAAGAAAGAGAGGGAGAGAGTGCCATAATGGACCCACTTATGTTAGGGAGGACAAGGAACTTCAAAACAGCTGTCTG